CAGCCTCCAAGCACATCCCCACCTCCTCTCCCCACCCTCCCTGCGGAGCCTCAACCCCCTTATACGTCGCCTCCCAAAACTCACGGAAACTCTCCACCGCCACCTCCCTAATCTCCCCCCTCGCATCCCCCGCAAACGGCGCACACAACACCCCTCCAAACGTCCCCAACACCCCCGGGTCCAGCGGCAAACACTGAACAGCCACAAGCATCGTCTGATACATCGGCAGAATCTACCCCCACCATCAGCACTCCGCCCCACTTGCACCAAGGTGAAAAACAAAACTCACATCATACTCAACAACCCCACCCTCCCACCTCCCCTCCGCATCCCCAACCCACACCCCCACCGCCTCCCCAATCGCCTCCCCAAGCCCCCGCACCAACTCCCCCGGACACACCTCCACAAGCCCCGCCACCGCCCTCGCCGCCCACGTATACGTCGTCTGGTCCCCCCCCAGCGGCGGCGGATACGCCCTCCCCATCGTCCCACCCACAAACTCCAGCACCCCCTCCGGCAGCTCCCTCAGCTCCCCCTTCGCAGCCACCCCCGCCAGATGCATGCTCACAAACTCCACAAGGCGTATCTGCGACGCCAGGTACCCCCGGGGCTCGGAGGAAACGAGCGCGGTAAGAGCAGAAAGCACTGTTCCGGCATCGTGCCCATAATCCAGCGCCGTCGCGACCGCATGCTCCAACAGCTCCTGCCACGCCTTCGCATCCTCGCTCGTCAACGCCCACCCCTCCTCCGCCCCTACAAACGGCACGCCCAGGATCGCCACGGCCCCCTCCCACGTAGCCGCAGACCCCTGCTGCATCCACTCCCTCACAAACACTCTCCACGCCCCCGCCTTTTCCTCCCCCGTCCACCCTTTCTTCTGATCTCGGATTTGGTCATCGTAGCCCCAGAACGCACGCACACCCTCCCCACCCCACACCGCGACGACATCAACACAAAACTCCGCCCACGTCTCATTCATCTCCTCCCCATCCCCTTCTCCCTCTTCCCCGTCCTGTTCCTCCACCCCGAGCACCGACCCAGTAAACGCAGTATACTCCCCCACACCCCCAATCAAACACCCCCCCAACCTCTCCGCCGCCTCCCCAAGCATAGCATGCGGCACCACGCGACACATCACGCTCCACAGCTCGCGCGCGTACGTCAGCTTCGCCAGGGTGCTGGACGAGGAAGAGGACGAGGCAGGGAAGCCTGGGATATCGAGACCGCGCCGGCGGTGCGTCTTGGTCTTGGGGGGAGCAAGCTCTAGGTTGGCGTCTTCGAGGACGAGGGTGATTATGACGTCCACAGCGCGAAGCGTGAACTCCGCCACCGCATCCACGTTGTGCCCATACCCCTCCGCATCAACATCCAGATCGGCGTCCATATCCCGGTCTTTATCTACCCAAAGAAACCAATCAACACCCTTCTCCAATCACAGCAAAAGAAAAAACTCACCAAGGACAGCCGCCAACCCCATCCCCACCATCCCCTCCCAAACCCCCACCAACTCCCCCCTCTCCCTCTCCCCCCTTTCCCCACCCCCATCCCCACCCCCCAACGCCCCCCTCCACGCCCTCACCAGCCCCTCCCACACCCACGCCCTCCCCACCTCCTCCCCCGTAAGACACCTCACGTCCTCCGCCTTGGGCGTCTCCTCAAACAGCGGGTTCACGCTCCCCTTCAGCGCGCTGTACTCTGCGGACAGGAGCCCGGGGAGCGCGGAGAATAGGCCTTGGGGGAGCAGAGTCCTCCTAGTGTCCCCTTGTTCGTGTTCGTGTTCAGAGGGCGAGGCGGACGGGGAAGGTGGGGCACCGACGAGAGCGCGCATGGTATCGATGGCGGAGCTGCACGTCGCGGCGTCTTTGCACACCATGGCGTATAGGACGTCCAACCCCCGCCTCAGCCTCTCCTCCTCCCCTTCCCCCCCGTCTCGTCCAGGGAGGTACTTGTACCTTGGCGCCTCGAAGAGCGGGATACCGACGTTCGTAGACCCAACATACGCAGCAAGCGTACACACCCCCGTCTCATACTCCGTCACGCTCCCCACAAGCCTCCACCACTCCTCCCTCCCCCTCCTCACCCTCTCCTCCCTCTTCCTCCCCTCCCCTCCCTCCTCCTCTTCCCCATGGTGGGCAGGTAAAGGGAAAGGAGGCTGGAGAAACACCCAAATCACAACTCTCCAAAGCACACTCCCCAGCGCCCTCACCGCCTTATTCCGATGCCGCAACCCCAGCCCCATCACCCCCCTCACCCCCGCCCCCGCGGCCCCCACCGCCTCCGGCCCCAGCAGCACCAACAGCGACGCAAGGACACACGTCCCCCACACCGGCCCCTGCGCCACGTGCGCCACCTCCGTCGCCTGCAGCACCGTGCGCAGCGTGCGTATGATCGCCGGATCCAGGGATGACTTGGTCGGTGATGCATTCGGCGCGTGGGATTTCGTGGGAGTGGAGGTAGGGGTCGTTTTTGGGGGTACCCTGGGAGGAGAGGGCGTGGTCACGAACTCACCCACGATCCCCGCCATCCGGACATGCAGCCCCGACCTTGATATCCTCGTCGCGCCCCACACGAACCCGCCCAGCGCATGCGCCGCGTACGTCCGTAGCGCGAGGGTGGGCGCGAGGAGGGTGCGCAGGACGGCCGGGAGGAGCTGTGGTGTAAATGCGGGGATGAACACCGAGGGGAGGTGCGTTGATAAGTCGTGGATCGCCTTCCCAAAAAAAACATGAGTATATGCGTCTTCGAAGTATAGGAAGGAGAGGGTGATGTACCTTAAGCCCATCGCTCGCCGACCCCTTCTTCCCCTCCTTCCCAAGCTCGCCCTCTATACCGCGACACAGCGCATTTGCAATACGGTCCGCGGCGGGCGCGAGGACCTCGGCGGGGAGGCGCTGCGTCTGGATGAGCCATATCGCCAGCGCCCACGTTTTGCGGGCATTCGGGGTGGGCAGCTCGTCGGAGAGGGGGATGGCTAGCACCGCTGTTAATATCAGGCCCAATTGCGCGTCTAATGATTAATGTAAACAGGGTCAGTAATAGAAAAAATCACGAGGAGAGAGTGTACGTGCCTGTGAAAATGTTGATGACAGCGGGAAGCGTGAAGACAACAGAGAGCATCCTAATCACAGCATGACTCGTCGTACACAGGTCCCGTGCAAACTTGACCTGCTCCGCGCTCATCCCATCCCTCTTCTTCTTCGGCGTACTCTTCGGCGACGGCAACCCCACCCTCACCCTTTCCTCCTCCTTCTTCTCTTTCTCCTCGCACTCATCCTCGTCCTTCGGAACGAACGTAGCAGGATCAACCAACGCCCTCCCCAAATCCCTCACAACCGCCTCCACAAACGCGTCCCTATTCTTCCTAAGCGGCTGGAACAGCGGCCACGACGCGTCCACATCCGTCCCCGCCCCCACACACGTCCTCAGCCGCGCCATAAGCACGCTATACGCCTCAATCAGCCCCCTCAGCTCCGTCGTCTTCCTTACGATCGTGGCCACCGGGTACTCTAGGTACCGCAGATTCACTAGGGGGTCCGCGGGCTCCGGCGTCACGTCGCGCGTCTTTTCCTGGGGCCACGGGACAAGTAGGGAGGAGGTGGGGGGTTTCTTGAGGATGGACTTGGTGGGGGGACGTTTGGAGGCGCTGGTGGCGGTGGATACCTTTGGGGCGAGGGTGGTGAGCTGGAGGACGTGGATTTTGTTGGTTTCGGACCAGACGACGCGCGGGTTGTGGCAGTCGAGGTTCTCTTTGTCTTTGGCGCGGCGGTGCGCGGTGCTCGGGGGTGTTAAGAGCGACATTTAATTTATGGATTTCGGGGGCGACGGTGGGGTATCTGAGAGAAAACGTAGTGGGGAGGAAATGGGGAGGAGGAGGAGGAGGAGGGTCGTGTCGGGGACAAGACGTGTAGAGAAATGTCACGCGTGACAAGAGCTTTATTCTGGGTGTGACCATTAAACGGCTTTATTGACGCGTCGCGCGCTTTGTTTGTTCATCACGACACCGCATCCCGCACGTACCACCCTGCCACTCACGATGAGCAGTGTCGAGTACAAAGGCGCTATGACCCCCGAGATACAGCGCTACTTCGATTCAGAATGCGCCACATTATGCTTCATCATAAACCACTCAAACCCCTCCACCACCACCTTATGATCCTCCACCTGCGGCAACCCACTCACCGCCACCACCGCCACCACCCCCTCCACCCCCCTCACCCGCACCGGAAACGCCCCCCCATGACACGCATACTCCCCATCATCCACCGGCGCCATCTCGCTCACCCGATCCCCCTTCCCCCCCTTCGCTCTCAACTTCTCACCAAGGTACAACGACGAACACCCGTATCGGAGGACGGTGTTGGTTTTGCGCGTGAGCCACGACTCGGTGTCGGGGATGCCGGGCCCGCAGGTGAGGGTGGCGAAGAGGACTTGGAGGGTGGGGAGGGAGATGCGGATGGAGACGGGGGTGGAGGGGTGTGCGCCGAGGATGGTGGAGCGGAGGTGGATGCCGAGCTCGAAGGCGTCCAAGGCGGTGAAGTGCGGGAAGATGAGGGTGTCTTGTTGGAATGTGATTTCGTCGAGGAGCTGGGTGTCCTTGTCAGCGTACGGTCAGACGAGGAAGGGGTAAGGGGAGACGTACCGGGGTTGACATGCTGGTTGTGGTGGTGTCAGGATGGGATTATGTGTGGGACGGGGCAGTCGTCATACACAAATAGCCCACATCGGCATCTCCGGCTAATATACTTCCGCGACCTTCGATATGCATCTCGAAGTATGAGATCAGCAAGTGTGTCTTTCCCATCGTACCGACCGCGCGATGATACAGATCATCGAAACGACTATTAGCACCACTCTCGACGTTGGCCTGGTAAAAACCGCATACAAAAAGCAGATGAGTGCAGGACATCATGATAAGATCCCGTCCCTCCTCGCGATCGGAGATAAACATCTCGATTCCATCACATCCACCACATGCTCTGCCCTCCGAAACCTCCTCCAACTCCCTCTTAGCTCAGTGGTAGAGCGCGTCACTAGTATCGCTTCCTTCTTCAAAATGCTATTCTATGACGAGGTCAGTCGTTCAAGTCGGCTAGAGGGAACTTCTGCTTTCTGAAAAAAACACTTTTTGACTCCTGGAAGTGTATGTAACTTATGCCCAACAGCAATTAGCAGTACCTACCACCTATTGCTACCACCTATTACCGTCCGAATTGCGGATCCCACTAGTACTGACGCGCGTCCAAGACCGCCTTCCCCTATGGACTTCCCTCTGAGCTCATACGTAGAGCGCGCAGTAACGCGGGCAGCTGCTAAGTCATTCAACTCAGCTAGAGGAACCAAGTCACAAGTCATCGTTCTTCCATTCCGTCCTCTGAAGATATGCTTAATCGTATTGCAATTTCGAAATACAGGTGGAACCGTTCATGGAAAGCCATCACTCGCATTCGCATTGCAAGTACACCGACTAGATGGAACGCCACATTCCCAGCCGTAAGGGAATCGAGACCTCTAAATTCATTATCCACACTACGAAGAATCGGGAGTGTAGAGGGAACTTGCCCTTGCCAGCTGTAGATAGCCGCTGGAAGTTGTGGAAAGTGTGACTCTCCACCTCTCGAGGCTTCTCAGCGACTCATCGTCATCTTCGGGGCTCTCCATCCTTATCCTTATCCTGAGTTCCAGCAGAGCCCAGAATCGTCCAAAGTTTCGCTGCGTCCAGCATATTATAGGCCGTCTTCCCCAGCACACTTCCTTTGAGTCGGCTCAGTATATAAAGCAGACGTACTGTACACACAGCATATGTATACCCTACATTCCAGGCGCTAGATATCGGGTATCTGAGGGTCCATTCCACAGCAAGGCAGGGCATACGCATCAACAACAGGTTCAGTTCTAGATTCGGGGGTATCGGGGAGTCCATCCACAACTTTTCGGGGCAAGGCGCATTATACGTTCCCGACGACTCAGTTCGTCTTGGTCTTGTTCTTCTGCGCAACGCGGAGCGCGCGTGCAATGTGCCCATACGAATCGACCATCAGTCCAAGAGGGATGATCACCCATCTGCCACGAGCAAGTCAGGCACGTCCACTGGGTACAACAATACAGAACACGCACATGACATTCATGAACTACACCGCAGAAAACGCAGGTCAGAGCTGGGACACATGCGAGAGAGGGAACGAAGGGAGCACGCACGAAGAGGTACACCCACAAGAACAGCGGGTTCGAGGTATCAAGGTTCGGGCTCCCAGTCAACCACTCCGGACAAAACGTCATCCACCTTTCATACCACCCCCACACAGAATCAGCATCCATCCCACTTCCAATTCCAGAGACACAAGAACTCACCCGCCATAAAGCTCCGCCGTACTCAACACAACAATCCAATAATGCCGCGCGGGGTCACCCCGCGCGAGCAGCGCGAGGATATAGCAGCACAGGGGTCCAGCACCGAGGACGGTGAGGATCTCGAGGGACACGACCGTTGGATCCGCGAAGCCCCAGCGGAAGTCGGCTGCGGCGTATTCGCGCCCTGCGAGGAAAGGCAAAAACGGGGTGTCAGGTGTGTCGGGTGGAGGGGGGAAGGTTAAGGGGGGAGGGAGGACGTACACATGGCAGCGAAGGGGCCGGTGCTGGTGTTCACCTGCCGTCCGAACGTGGAGAGGTATAGGAACGAGCCTTCGAAGGAAAAGTGGATCAATGCGTCGAATGCCTACATCACATCCCATCTTGAACTCGACTCAAGGGTATAAGACAGAGACAGGGACTTACGAGCCAGATAAACGTGTACCTCTCAATCCGCGACGCGTTTTTAGGCAAGAACACGCGTGAGCCGACGTACGCGACGATGTACACGCCGAGGACTCCCGCGAGGGAGTACGCCGACGTGAGCGTGAAGATGTCTGCGAGTGTTTTTGCGGTCGTGGCTGTCATGGCTGGGCCAGAAGGCTGAGAGTAGGGAAAGCGCGTCGGAGAGAGGGACAGCCGTGGGATGGTTGAAGTTCCCAAGCCGAAGGGGCCGAAGAAGCAGGATTCCACGACTCTGCGGCCCTGCATGTCCACGTGCGCGAATAAATACCCGCGAGCGCCGTACGCTGTCCGCTCTTCCCACCAAGCCGACTTAAGCTCCCCCGACATGGAAGGTCGTGAACGTCCCACGATGCACCCCCTGGCCTTCGAATTCGCAGCGGGCGCCAGCGACGTGGTGCCTACCTCATACGCGTCTCGGGCGTTGACCCCGTCTGAATGGTCCACTATACATTACTTTGCACCGAAGACAGTATGATCTCCCGCTCCCCACACTTCTCCCGAGTCCCAACGCACGCCTTCCTCGGGGCCCGGAATATACACACCCACCCACGCACCCACACCCACGCCCCCAACTTCCACGTTTTCCCCTCTGTTCGACGACTACAACCGCCGCGCCGATCCATGTGCACGCCCAGCCCGACGGATCATATCCAGAAATAGGATATAGGCCGTCACCCGGCGGCACCACCCAGCTCATGATCAGGCATGGGCGCCCTCATGCCCGTGTCATCTTCTTCGCACCCTGATATGACTCTGAGCGACGAAAGATGATGTCGACCGGCCCCGACGTATTTTTGGAAACTCGACACTCAGGACACGGATGCCCTCCACCTTCGCACCCACGCCCAAATGTCTAGGCGCTACAATCCCTTGTTCCATCCTCTCGCTCCTTTGACGCCCGCTCCCAAGACCAGGAAGGCCAACTTGATGTCACTACATACGCCCCATCGTCTCGGCACCACCCCCCACTATTCAAGGCACCACGACCATGATCACGACTCACACACCCCCGACGCCGATGGGTCCTTCAACCAGATCCCAATGCACGGCGCCGGGTACGTTCCAGGTCTATGTTTGGATCCCGAGAACAGTCAGGACGAGTCATCGACCGCGCGCTCGATGGATCACCTTCCCAGCAGGCATTCGCACCCTCGTATCGTGAGGCACATATGCCCGACACCGATGTGCATACGCGGCCTCCACCATCTAGCCTGCTCGCGCTTCCATTCCTCCCGCACTTACCACAGTGAGGGACTTGCGCCTGTCACTGTTTACAATCTACATGCTACATGCGCATACAGATTGCCTCGTCATGTTCTTTTTTTCGAAGCACCTTTCTAGAGTTTACCCGGACCTGACAGCGACACCACCAACGCGACATTTGGACACTACGGTGCATGTGGACACCAGGCCTGCCCCTGTCCCTGGGAATGGCAGACAGCACCTATGTACACGGTACACCTATCACCTCCAGTATCAGTATCAGAAGAAGTCGAACTTCTCCAACTGATCTTATCATGGTCATGACAGACACGCTCGCGGCCGAATCACTTTCTCCGAGGTCTCCCTCTCTCAACCTCATCCTCTTCTTGCTTCGTGGCTTCCTGGCTTCGTATCATTGTACATGTACCCACCTTCTCTCGCGAGTCGCGGGAATGGAGATGGGGCCGCTTATAATAACGCATCCCACTGCTGATTCAAATCTATTTTTTCGGGACTCGCCTCACAAGTCACGATCAAATGCTGGGCCATGGGAGAAAATAGCGGAAAAAGGAGCCAAGCCTTGTGTCGACAAGGCTCCCATGATCACCTCTATCAGCAGCGCAGAACAACATCACTTGGGCCTCCTGCGATCCAGATGTACAGTCCTGCGTCCTAATACTATCTGACGACTTTAAGTTCCCTTTTCTGCCGTGGATCCGCACCTATAAACTCAAACACATTCGGTGTCCAAGAGCGCCTGCTCCCTAAGTATGCTTCATTGCTTACATACGTACACCCATGGATAAATGGACATGGGTCGTTCCTTACCACCAGATCCCCCGAGTAACTTCGGATCTCAGAGTCACTGTCCCCAACAGGTGACTTCATCCGTCGTTCGGCCGATTGCGACGGCGCGCTTGGCGTAAACGCCGTGCGAGCCTGTGTCGATAGATGGGGAAGGGGCGTCGTCGGTGCTCATCCCCGCGTCGAGAACTCGAAGTAGGCGTCATCGTGGTAAGGGTCGCGTTGTCGTATGGCACTACCCTGGGTGAAGAAGTTAGGAAGGTAAACATTGTACACATCCACATCCACACACCCCGGTGAAAGCTCGCGCGACGAATGTCGTATTAGTAAAGCCACCTGGATAACTATCAGAACGTACCTCCATGCCAATACCATCACCTGCCCCATGGCCAAGTCCCTTGCCCAACTAAGACGTGAAGAATCTCGATTTCGGCAGTGTCCGTGATTCTCGCATGCGCTGGCAGAGAGGGGCCTTGATGGGAGAGACTTGAAAGTTTTCTTTGCACCCACTGGGGAGAGTGGTGGTTGGAGATGTGTGGTGCACAGGGGGAGGGGAGGGCTGGAGAGAGAGGGTCGTGAGTGATCGAGCGGGGTGGGGGAGGCGCCATCCCGAGAAAGGAACTTTTTCTGCCAAATGGGGTTTTGAATGGGCGTGGAATTTTTTGTGGTGGGATGGGTGGTCGCTTGGTGGTCGCTGACTCGTCTGCTGCACCGCTGGATCATGATACTCGTCTGGTGCACAGTGCACCGCTGATATGTATCGGGTTCTCGTCAGCTGCACTGAATAGTACTGCACGCCTGCGCAGTTGTGGAGCACGACCTGTCGTGGGCCTCGTGGGACGCAGGCTCTCTCATCAAATGATGGAAGTCAACGGTGTTCCCCATTGACTTTCATCGCCGTGTGTAGGGAAATGTATATCATTATCTCTGTTTCCCTTTTCGGTCTCCTCGCCTGATCTCCGCCCACCAACCCAGGCTTATACTTTCCACCTTCAGCCTCCGTCCGAATTACACGCAATCCTCCCCTCCATTCACATGTCCCCGGACCCTCTCCTCCCCTCCTCCTCCTCCTCCCTCCATCCCCCTGTCAATGGCTCGCCCCGCCCACTGAAGAGACCCCGCAAAAATCCTACACCGAAGGAGGAGCCGACGTTTGATTCTGCTGCGGGTGCACAGCCCGTAGACCATATATTCATCGCAGAGGGCAATGTGGCGAAGAAACCGGGCGGAAAGAAGGTGGGGCGCTTCATCATCATCGAATAGTGTGTCAATGGGCGAGACG